GGGTTGCAAAGTTGCCTACAAGTGGCCAAGAGTGGAAGAGGGTTCTAGAAACGGTCTGAGGCTGCCTTGTTCCTCCCCTGTCACTGAGGCTGCGATGTGACCAGCATGATCCAAAGTCCTGGGGTTAGTGCTCTGGTGCTGGGGGAGGGGGAGGAGGGGCCCGTTACAGACCTGGGGGCTTCTGAAATGTGGGTAGAGCTCTATTACCAACTGCTTAACTGAGAACAGAAAACAGCCACTCCCAGCCTCAAGAGTGAAGAAAAAGTGACCACAGGCAGAGAGCCAGCAGCGGGCATGGAAAAGCCGGTGCAGACAGCGCCGGCAGCCGGGAAGGGCTGGGCGGTGGTGCTGTGTGCCTGTGTGTTTGCACGCATGGGGCTGCACTCCGCAGGGCGTTGGAGTCTTTGCCCGGCCCTGGAGGTGCCACAGGCGCACTCCGAGGTCTTGAGTCTTTACTCTCTCCTGCGCCACAGGGAAGGGAAGGGTGAGCCGCGCTGCCCTTGGGAGCTCTGCCTGGTCCCAGCCTGTTACCTTGGCCCTTGGCCCTTTGTGTGGCTGGCCGGGGTGTGGGGAGAGCGCCCTCCCCTTTCCCAGCTCTCACCCTGGGTGCCCCTTGGGGATTTCACACAGCGCATGGGGTGCTCTCCGGGAGCAGGGCTTTCTAGGTCACCTTTGTTTATAGCTCCTTTTAAAACCCAGAGACAAACCACCCATTAATTTATACACCGCTGGGAAGGCAAACCTGTCTTTTAAAAATCCAAAGGAAGCCATTAAAACAGGTTGGTAACCATTGTAACTCATAATAAGCTCTTCTCTGTTAAAAAAAATGAGTCAGAATGACTTTCCAGGAAGTTTGGTTACTTTAATTAGCTCCCTCTTTTTTCTCGCTCTTTAAAATGCGCAGTAATTGAAGGATTACCGAAGTATTGATGCTGCCAGCCCCAGAGTGAAAGATCTAGGGGCGGTCAAGTCCCAGACAGCACAGGTGTTCCAAACAGACGGCACCAGCTGCTGGGAGTGGAGGAGAAGCGGAGGAGAAGGCACAGCGAGCAAAGCCAGCCTCGGGATCTCACTCACCGGCCTGAGTCAAGGGGACAAGGGGACCCCAGCCACCTGCAACCAAGAGCGCTCAGCAGCGATGCCCGGCCACCTTGTGCACCTCACAATCCCAGCATCTCACTTGGGACTCATCCCATATCAGAGTCCCTGGTTTGAGTCCCGGTTACTCTGCTTCTGATCCAACTTCCTGCTAATGTGCCTGGGAGGTGGCAGATGATGGCCCAAGTGCCTGGGTCCCTGTCACCCATGTGGGAGGCCTGGAGGGAGTTCCTGGCCTCAGCCTAGCCCAGACCTGGCTGTTGAAGGCATTTTGGGGAGTGAACCAGCAGATGGAAGATATCTCTCTCTCTCTCCCCCACCCCCGTATAACTCTTTTGAATAAACACATTTTTTAAAAATAATTAAGATGCTGAATCTAGGGATCAGCACTGTGGCATAGCAAGTAAAGCCGCCTCCTGTAGTGCCAGCATCCCATATGGGCTCCTGTTCCTGTCCCAGCTGCTCCCCTTCCAACCCAGCTCTCTGCTTATGGCCTGGGAAAGCAGCTGAAGATGGCCCAAGTGCCTGGGCCCCTGCACTCACATGGAAGACCTGGAGGAAGCTCCTGGTTCCTGGCTTTGGATCAGCGCAGCCCTGGCTGTTGCAGCCAGCTGGGGAGTGAACCAGCAGATGGAAGACTTTTCTGTCTCTCCCTCTCACTGTCTATAACTACCTCTCACATAAATAAATAAATGAATAAATCTTTAAACTTCAAAAGAGAGAGCTAAGGATGATCACAGCACCATGTGCCAAGCACTGTGGCGAGACTCTGACATCATCTCAATAACTCGGCTCACGCGCTGTGGCCGGCACTAATTCTCCCCCTTCACAGAGGCGGTGAGAATGATTAGCAGGCATGCAGCCAGTAAGCAGCGGAGCTGTGAATCTTATCTCAGGCCTGTTTGACCCTAAATCCACAGCCTTCAAAGGTCACGTGCTCCTGCCTCCCAGGGAGGCAACGTGGCAGGTGTAAGGTCGCACACGGAGTTGGCAGTAGCTTTATAGGCAGATTCCGAAGGACCTGTGTCCGCATGGTTTTTTCCTTCACTCGCTCTACACACAGCTCCCACGGCCTAAGACACAAGGCCAGAATTTGCTGTGGTTGTCCAGAAAACATCAACCTGCTAACCCCACACCCTGGCTCTGAGCCCCGCCCCCGCCGGGTCACCTTCCCAGGTCCTGTGTGACTCCCTCTCACTCCCAACCCCGCTCCCCTGGCTTAGTTACAGCAGCAGCGCCAGCGTTAAGCGTGTTCTTCTGCCCACTGGGAATAGGACTGCACATTAGGACCCAGGTAAAGAGTGAGCCCCAACCAGCCCGCACAGCTTCTCTGGGATCATGGCTCCCCGCCCTGCTATTTCTCTAGAGAAGAGTGTTGATGCTGGGACTGCACCCATCACTCTCCAGCTGACCTGATTTTAAAGTCTTGCTTGAGTTGTTGAGATCAAAAGAAAATTTCTTCTCAACTGGGAAAACCAAGTGTTCCCCCTCCTCTCCAAAGACTCTTAGTAAGATGCACTCAGCTAATAAACCAATTGAAAATGGGTACAACTGGCCCACATTGTCCTCAGCGCAGCGGTTCATAGATTCCGGCGAAACACAGGGGTACTTCCAAAAGTTAGTGGGAAGCTGAGTTTAAAAGGCTGCCTTAGGCTGGTGCCGCGGCTCACTAGGCTAATTCTCTGCCTTGTGGCGCCGGCACACCGGGTTCTAGTCCCGGTTGCCCCTCTTCCAGGCCAGCTCTCTGCTGTGGCCAGGGAGTGCAGTGGAGGATGGCCCAAGTGCTTGGGCGCTGCACCCCATGGGAGACCAGGAGAAGCAACTGGCTCCTGACTTCGGATCAGCGCGGTGCGCCAGCCGCAGCGCGCTGGCCGCAGCGGCCATTGGAGGGTGAACCAACGGCAAAGGAAGACCTTTCTCTCTGTCTCTCTCTCTGTCCACTCTGCCTGTAAAAAAAAAAAAAAAAAAAAAAGCTGCCTTTGGTCTAGCAGATAAAACACTGGCGCAGATGTCTGCAAAGCACATCAGAGTGCCCAGCTTCAGTACTGGGCTCTAGCTCTGGCTCTTGGCTCCAGCTCCCTGCTAATGCAGACCCTGAAGGCAGCAGGGATGGCTCATGGAATTGGGATCTTGCTACCCACATTGGAGACCCAGATTGAGCTCCCAGCTCCTGGCTTCAGCCCCTCAGCCCAGTCCCAGCCGTTTCTGGCATTTGGGGAGTGAACCACCAAACGGGAGGTCTCTCTCTCTCTCTCTCTCTGCCTCTCAAGTAACTAAAAACATGTTTTAAAAAGAGAAGTCCAAGGATTGGTGTTGTGATACACTGAGTGAAGATGCCACTCTCAACACTGGCATCTCATATCAGAGCACCAGTTCGAGTCCCAGCTGTTCTGCTTCCAATCCAGTTCCCTGCTACCGTGTCTGGGAAGACAGCGGAAGATGGCCCGAGGACTTTGACCTCTGCCACGTACCCGGGAGACCCTGAAGGAGCTGTGGCCATCTGGGGAGTGAGTCAGCGCATGGAAGATCTCTCTCTCCCTCTCTCTCTGTAACTCTGCCTTTCAAATAAATGAAATACATGCTTTTTAAAAATAAGTCTATTTTGGTGCAAAAATTTTGAAATCCGTGCCTGGTATTTTGCATGAACCTTTTGAAGTACCCCCATAGAAAATGTGTTACTGCCTGTGCACCTAGAAACGGTCTCAATATCAAATCGGAGAGCAGCGGAGTTTGTGGCGAATGCATCCTGCAGATGACCCCTCCCCCCACAAGACCCCTAATTATCTTATCCCTGATCCCGCGTCTTTTAGCCTCAAGAATGGCACCAGACTCCTCCAGAAGACTTGAAAAAGATCTTAGCTCTAGGGGACATCGATTCTCTTCCACTACTAATTTCTACGTCTCTAATGATCCAGATGAAAGACTAATTGAGGTCTTGTTGGGATGCTATTAAAGTTATTTGGTGGTGTTACAATTTCTACTCATCTTTCTTTAAGTTCTTTTTAATTATATGGAGCTTTCAAAGCAAGGCTGGGGCTACGGAGGTATCGCAGGGAGCTGTGAAACTTGCTTCTAGGTTCTTTTCTATCTCCCTTCCCCTCTCCAGGAAGCAAAGCCATCTCCAGGCGCTCAGCCTTCTCTCTGAGCTTCTCGGCCACCATCAGCAACGGGCCTCTTTGGTTAGTCCCTTGATTAGGACCATTGAGAAATCTGGGCTTAAAAGTTCCTGGTCCCATCAGTTGAAGACAGGGTCTGCCCTCTGTCCGTCAGGGAAAACAGCCTGCTGCTTCTAGGAGTGTGAGAGTGGAACCTCAGCAAGTGAATTTCCTAGGGACTGGTGCTGTGGCATAGTGGGTAAAGCTGCCCCCTGCAATGCCAGCATCCCACATGGGCCACCAGTTCGAGACCCAGCTGCTCCACTTCCAATCCAGCTCCCTGCTAATGGACTGGGAAAAGCAGCAGCCTGAGTGTTTGGGTCCCTGCCACCCCCATGGGAGACCCGGATGAAGCGTCTGGCTTCTGGCTTTAGCATGGCCTCAAACTGTCCTTTGGGGCCATCTGGGGAGTGAACCAGCAGATCTCTCTCTCTCTCTCTCTCTCTGTAACTCTGACTTTCAAAATAAACAAGCAAATCTTTTTTTTTTCTTTTAAGTGAATTTTCTCCCTAACTTTTTGGTCGGGTTTTATTCCTTGGGAGTGGCCCCTCTAGAGCCCCCTGTCACCCAATAGCCTCCAGGCTCCATCTCACATTTCCAGAGAATTCCGTCAGCTCCTAAGAGCCAGCTTTTGAGTCTGATTGGCTAAAAGACCAAGCAAGGAAAGACACCACATTGTTTGGCAATTTCCAGCAACTCTCTGAAGCCCTGCTTCCCGTGCCATGCCCCAGCCTCGGAGACCCTTACCTGGCTCCACCTGGCTGAGCGTGCCGCGAGCGTCCGTGGAGTCGGCTACATCCCCACTCATCTTGAGATCTGCAGGGAAAACACAACTGATTTTAATAACAGGTCACAATTTTCTTGCTATGACATATGTGGCTTTAACTAAACAGCAAAGATGAATGTGTAATTACAACAACCATCAGACTTTCAAATTCTTGATTCCCGAACATACAACCATTAGAATATTCATAACCCCGGGCGCAGCCTCCCCTCCTCCCGTGCTGGCCTCCTCCCTTGCCTCCCTGCCTGCTTCCTGCTGCTCTCCTTTCACCTTCTGCATCATTCATTGCCAGTCCCTGCCATCTCCAGGACTCAGTTGGTAAAAATTTAACAAGGGGAGGGGTGCCAGGGAGGGATTAGGGAACCCTTCCCATTTTGAACCCCAATTTCCTTTGGAATTCGAGGAACTTATTTTTTTTTTAATGAGCAGAAGAACTATCCCTCCCCTCTCCCCTGTCCACGTCCCCTCCCACCTGGAAGGTGAGGGTGGCCTTGAACCACAGCTTGCCCTTCTCACCTGCCTTCCCAGGGTCCTGCCTCTCCTCTCTGGGGGTGGGGCTCCCCAGCTCCTAGGTCACCCTCCCTGGATATCCTTTGGGGAGTCTTACCTCCTGGGACTCCTGCAACTTGCTCACGGGGGAGCAGGGGGGGCAGAGGAGGGGCGGGAGAGATTACCTACACCAGCCCCCAGCCTCGGCCCCCAGTTGCTGCTACTCCAGCCTCTCTGCTGGGCTCCATTTCAGTAAATTAAACATTTACCCATAACAGACAGCAGCTACCACCTAGGAGGCCCCTAAGTCTGCTCCCAGGGTCAGCAGAGGGAAGGAAGGAGGCAACTTGCAACTAACTCTTTTCTCTCGCTCTCTCCTCTCCTTGTGAATACCAAAGCCGTTAAAGACAGGAGAATATTTTATTCAAATTGTGTTGACCCCCACCCCCTCTTCTCTGGGGCAGCACTTTAACTCTTTCCAACCAGAGAAAGTCTTGGTGAGCTCATTTGCATACTTGGCTCCCCAACCAATCCCAGGCAAGCAGGCAGTCTTAATTTGCATCAGGTAACCAGGCGCTTGGCAGCCTCGAGGTCCAGGTCTGGAGATGGTCAGGCTGAGGGTGAAGGGTGGACCTCGGGCCCAGGAGAAGAGGCGAGGAAGCCAACTGTTTCCCAGGGTGGTGATGTGTGTGGCTCCAGCAATGAGTCACACCTCCACAGTGCAGCGACTGCTGTGCCAGGCAAGACACAGGTGGGGAGATCAGAGACCCCAGAGCACCCATGGGAGGGAGTGAGGCAACCTTAGGAGTCACCGTGGATTGAGGGATCTTTTGAGACCCATCCACCCGGAGGAAAACCCGTGCAGCTCTCCTCCTCGGACGTCTACCGTGCAGAGCGTGGTCACAGAGCTCTAGGGGAAACCGGCTGTCTGTACCCAGCACCCCTGCCAGCACGCTGCATTCGGGAAGGCGCTTCCTGAGCGTGACCTCAGGCCTTCCTGCTGCAGTTTCAGACTTTCTGTATCATCTGCCATGCGTGAATATGCAGAGCAGCCAGCGTGGGCCACCTGGCCACCTGCACCAGGGGCTCTGCGGCTGCAGCTTCGGCTCCCGTGGAGAAGCGGGCTGCTCTCATCCCACCCACGAGGCGGTCCCCCTGGAGCTGGCCAGGGCCTGGCCTGGATCGGCAGCTCACCCTTCACCGCAGGGATGCTCCAACGGAGGGAAAGGTGCTGGTGTGGAAGGTGGTTTCAACCTGCTTTGGTAGTACCAGAAGCCAGTGCATGGGTTCTGGCACCTGACAAATCTGGGTTTAGTCCCAGTGACATCCCTAGCAAGCTGGGAGACCCCAGCCACACCTCTGGACATGGATTTTCTTACCTGAAACATGGAGACGATGATATGGGATTAAATGAGAGGGTGAGTGAAAAGTGCCTGGCTCAGTTTCAGGCACAAAGTACCCAATAAAACAGACACTAGGGTGTGACTGCTGAGCCCCTCTCCCCCCAGCCGCTCCCTGCCCATGCCCCTTCCTTAACCCCAGCCCCTACAGTGAGCAGCTTTGGTTCTGTCTCAGTCCATGGTGATTTGTCCTCTACCTGGGAAGTCGTTAGCGTTCTCCAATTTCTGACTTAGGGTCAGAGGCAGTGAGGCTAGAACGCTGCCCAGCGACTCCGAATTAACTGCTTCTAAACGTTTGCACCTGTAACACAAGCACTCGTGCAACACCCACTCCCTACGGCACCTTTAGAGACACCCAGAAGCCGTCTCCTTCTTCCTTGAAAGGAGCTGAAACATTCATCTTAATCATGTCACCCTCCCCCGGCCCACACCATGCCACAGCCGCTCTGTGACGCTTGGGCACTGGGTGGGCAGTGCAGCCTGGGTGCAGGAGCCGGGTGAGATGCCCTGTAACACCTCTCTCTCCCCAAGCCCCAGAGGATGCTATGATACCAAGAACCTGTTCCTATTGGGTAGGAGGCTGGGGCTGATGGGTGGGACGAGGCCTTGGGTCTGAGCCTGAAAATGGGCCAATACCGAAACTGCCCGAGATGCTGTAACCCTTCCCCTGTGGGACAGCACTTGCCTTGCCGGGGCTGAGTGAGAGCTGTGTGGGGTGGGGCTGGGCTGCTCTGCTCTTATCTCAGCCGGGACTGAGTAGGCTTCTTGCCATCACTCCCTTCCCTGGGGAGGCTCAGCCGCTCTGTGCAAGAGCCCAGCTCCCAGCCACTGAGCCTCATCGGCTTCACCTGGAAGATCTCTCCTGGAAGCCAGCCTTGCCCTCTCTGGGCCGGGGTGACCCGGGAGCGGGCCCTCCTTAAACATCAGGAGCCCTGGGAAGAAAGCCCCGGAGGCAGCCCTGCCCCAGGCGGAAGGCTGAGGGTCCAGGGGCCCTCCAGGAAGCAGAGGCCCCACACCCTTCTCTCTGTCTTTGGAAGGGACTGGAGCTCTTTCCTGGCTCCTCTGTCTCACATCCACTGCTGCGAGCACTTTTGATTTTGTTTGAAAGGCACAGAGATGGAGAGAGACTGACAAATAGACACAGAGAGAGATCTCCCATCTGCTGGTTCATACCCCAAATGCTCACAACAGCCAGGGGCCAGGGTCTCCCACATGGGTAGCAGGGTCCCACCATTGACTGCCTCCCAAAGGTGCCCATGTTAGCAGGAAGCTGGAGTCGGGGAGCAGAACCAGGACTCACACTCAAGACAGGTCGATACAGGACGCAGATGTCCTAAGCAGTGTCTTCAGCACTGTGCCCAACCCCCACTCCTGCGTGGGGTGCTTCCTCCGGGGCCTCCCAGGGACCCGCCCACCAGTCCCGCTTCTGAGTTAGCTGCCAAGGCTGCAGCTTGCCCCTGGAGGAGACGCTGCCCCTCTTGCCCTCTCACAATGGGGCTCTCTCCTACACTGGAGGGAACAGCTCCCAGCATGGAGGGGGCCAGAGACACAGGGGATGTCCCACGGCTTCCCCCAGTCTCTTCTCTCCCTCCCTGGCTGTCTGGTGACCTCGCGCCCACCCGGGCCCGCAGGCTCCCCCATGAGAGATGCTCTACAAAGTCCCAAGTGCGGGGTCTCCGGGCAGACCCAAACCACGGCCCGCACCCCGCATATCAGAGCAAGGAAGCGGGGCTGACTCAGGGGCCCCAGTGCTAGTGGGGCCATTGGAACTGGGGACATGGAGCAGCCCGTGCCCCAGTTTGTGGGCTCCTGTCCTCCTGCTTCCTTCATCCAAGCTGTTCCAGTAAATCAACGTGAGGAGGAGTCCCCAAGGGCCCAGGGCTGGGAACTCACAGGGAAAAAATGCTGTTTATCAAGAAGCAGCAGGATACAGGATTAGTGTGGGGAAAACAGGGATCAAAGGAGACCAGGTGTCCACAAAGAGGACCTAGGAGTTAGTGATGAGGGGGTCTCCCTCACAGACCCCACTGGGGGCGGCACACCGGGACCCAGCCAACAGCGCCCCCAGTGGGGATCGCAGAGACTGCGCAGAGAGCTGCAGCCGGAGAGACCCCCTGGAGGTTCCACAAAAGGGAACCAGAGCCCACAGTGGGAGGCCCCCACGGTCCCCAGGGACACAGACTAGAGACGCCTGCTCAGCCAGGGCTGCTAGCACGTGAGGAGAGATGAGTCAGGGGCTCTAGACCGAGGTAGCTGGAGACCCCCACTGTGAGTTTCACTGTCTTGAACCCCTGTGCACAGGGACGGGGGTAGAAGAGGGGTCTGGGCTTTTGAGAACCACCAGCCAGGAGCTGGCTCCAGCGAAAGGCACAAGGGACTGGGGGGCTCTCTCTTCTCAACCTCACCCCTTCCCTGGCCCTCTCGGGGGTGTCTTCCTAGCCCTTCTGCTGGTGCTTGCCTGCTGGGTCTCAGCTGTCCCGTCTCCTCCCACTTCCCCAGAACAGGAGCCTCCAGGAGACAAGGAGGTGGAAAACCCCCAGGAAGTCTCTGATCTTGATCCTAAAGAACTTCCCGCCCACTGCCGGGCCTCCTTTCTCCTGGAGGGAAGTGAAGGGAGGTGACCACCTGTGCGGGGGGCATCTGCCCCATGCCGAGGCCATGAGGCCTGGAAACAGACTTCCCCAGACACCGGATGATACCCCGCTCCCCGCTCTTCCCGGCTCAGCATCTCCCTGCCAGCTTGCCTCTCACCCCTCCCTGCTGGGAAACAGCAACTGTGCATCTGGGCCCAGGCCCTGGGGGCCGGCACTGCTGCTGGTGTTCAGGTCGGGCAGGCCCAGGAGGGGCCAAAGCCTGCTCTGCTCACTGGGGTGGGTCAGGAGAATTGCTTCCTCCCATTCCCCCACTCCTCCAATCTTCTAGAAAGAGAGCAAGTAGCAAAATTCCCTTCTACAGCCTTGAAACCCCCTCACGCCGACCGCTGGGTCCGGCCCACTTTGGGAGGCAAGGCTCTGGGTCTGCCCAGAGCGGCTCACTTCAGCTCCAGTCCATTCTTCGCTCAGGCCCTCTGACCTCGAGAAGGCCCACCCTAACCCCAGGCCCACGCAAGCCTAGCCTCGGTCCTGCTCTGCTGAAGAGAGGATCAGCGGGGGGCACTGCCCGGGTCTGGGTTCCCACCACGCCTAAGCACCATTCATTCACACAGGGGAAGCTGACTCCTGCTAATGCGTTTCTATCTCCTGGGCTCCTGGTCTCACCATGTGCTGAGCCCATAGTGGCACCAGGGCCCACAGGACCCCACCCCCAAACACCTGGAACACGTGTGCAGGAATCTTCAGCCCCCTACAGAGTCTTGCCTCTGGGGTCTGCTCCACCACCTCTCCTAACATACATGGCGACAGGCAGACACACCTCTGACACACGGACACCAGCTTGCACAAGCCCTAATCAATACATGGGTGGCCCAGAACCTGTTCCAGGTGTGCCTCTAATTGCCCCACTGTGCTTGCCTCTCCTAAACGCGCCCCTCCCCTCGCAACCGAATGCCCACTTAGTCTCCGTTTCCCACATGTTCTGGGACACCCAACACGTAACATGTGGATACAGGAATTTCCCTTACTGACGCACTCCTAGGTCCACACCCCTGGCTGAGTGGGCCAAGGGGCCCCTCCTGCAACCCATGAGTGGAGAAGTCCACCCCACTCCCCATGTCCCGGGCTACAGGAGTTCCCCCTGGCCCCAACCCCCACCCTCACTCTTTTCCAAAGCTCCTTGCCTTTCGTCCCCTTAGACACCTCCCCACGCCCGCCCCAGGAAACCCGCTATCCACACCGCCCCCTCCTGGCCGCTGAGAAGTAGCCCCCACCCTCCAACCCGGCGTCCCGGTCCCTCGCCCCTTCCCGCGCACAGTGACACCTGTCAGAGCTCACTCCCTCCGCCCCTCACCTGTGTGCATGGGCTCCAGATTCACCATCCTGCCCCAGGTGGGGCCAAAGCCAGCGCCCCCCCAGGCCCCTCGCGTCTGCCCCAGCCGGGCCCCCTGGGAAGCCAGGGTCTCCTGCCTCCAGCCCCCGGCCGCCGCCGCCGCCGCGGGAGCCGCCGCCGGAGCCGTCGCCGCCGCCGTCGCGCGCTCCGCCGCTCCGGCCCGGGCAGCGCTCGGCGCGGCCAGGATTGCCACACTCCCCAGGTGAGCACGCGGCGCGGGGCGGGGGCCGCCGGCCACGCCCCCTGGCAGGGCCCCCGCGCCTGGCCCCGGGCCCATGCAAAGCAGCGATTTGCATGCGGGGAGCTGGGGACCGGGGGAGGGGGTCGGGGTGCTGCCGGGGCGGGGCCCGACCCCACGGAACACCTGTCTGCTCCAGCCCTACCACACCCCTGTCCAGCTCGCCCTTTTGAGGAACCCCTGGCGCTGTGCACGCTGGCCCGAGTTCCGCCTGGACAGGCTCCCGCAGTGTAAGCGCTGCGAGGAAACTGGGGTGTTTGGAGAAGCCCTGGGGTGTGCTGGAAAGGAATCTTGGAATCTTCCCTCTCAACGGCTCCCCTGCTGAGTGGCAGGGGACACAGTGCTTCACCTACCTGAACCCACTCTGCTCGGCTGTGCAACCGGGCAGGTGCTTTGTCACAACTGGCGTGTACGTGGGGCTGAGCAGGCGGTCGGGCTCATCAGCCCCGGTGGCATCCTCATAACCGCATGGGCCCGAGATGGGGGCTGGCTTCTGATCACAGGAGGCAGGTGAGGCCCCGGGGCTGCCCTGAGGCTCTGCCAGGGGTGGGAGGTGGAAGTTACCCACCAGGGCCAGCAGTTGTGGGGTCAGCCACCTTCCAAACTACAGAGATCTGTCCACAGCTTCCCACGTCCCCAGTGACAGAGCCTGGCGGAAGCCAGGTCTCCGGACTCCTACTCCAGTGCTCCTTACAGAGCCCCTCACAGGTTCATCATCTGAGCCTGAGCCTGGCTCACCCCTGCTCTGCCTCTCTTCAGGTCCTGGTAAGTGATTGGAAGCCAAAGGACCACCTGCACAGAAGCCCAGAGAGCCACACACAGACGGGAGGGCCCGGCCTCCAGGTCTAGTTACTGTTCACTCAGCAGGTCCTGGGCGTCCTCCCTCTGTGTCTGGTCCTATCACCTCTTTTTTCTCTCCCTCCTTTCCTTCCTTCTTCCCTCCCTCCCCCATTCCTTCCCTCCCTCCCTCCCCCATTCCTTCCCTCCCTCCCTTCTTTCCTTCCTAGACTATTTATTTCGAGGTAGAGTTACAGACAACAGAGAGAGGGAAAGACAGAGAGAGAGAGAGATCTTCCATCCGCTGGGTCACTCTCCAAATGTCCAAAATGGCTGGGACTGGGCCGATCCAAAGCCCGGAGCCAGGAGCTTCTTCCAGGGCTCCCATGTAGGTGCAGGGGCCCAAGCTCTTGGGCCATCCTCTACTGCTCTCTCTGGCCATTGGCAGAGAGCTGGACCGGAAGAGGAGCAGCGGGGACACAAACCGGCGCCCATACGGAATGCTGGCGCTGCAGGTGGAGGCTTAGCCCACTATACCACAGTGCCAGCCCCTATGATGCCTTTTCTAGCTGGTGTGTCCACCCCTCCATCCACCCCAGTGACTCCTGCTATAACACCCAGCCTTCACGGAGCACTCGCTCTGCACTGAGCGCAGTGCTGACCCACACCTGAATGGCATTCCAAGTGCCTTTAAACCTCCTTGTACATTGTGCTTTGTTACACCCATTTTGCAGATGGGGAAAATGAGGCTTGGAGAGTGTAGCTTGCCGTGTGGCATCGTCAGTACCTGTCAGGGCTCTTGTTTTTTTTTTTTTTTGTTTTCTTTTTTTTTAAACTTAAGGCTTTTTTTTTTTTTTGAAGATTTATTTATTTATTTGCAAGTCAGAGTTACACAGAGAGAGGAGAGGCAGAGAGAGAGGTCTTCCATCTGATGGTTCACTCTCCAGATAGCCGCAACAGCCAGAACTGCGCCGATCCAAAGCCAGGAGCCAGGAGCCTCCTCCGGTCTCCCACATGGGTGTGGGGGCCCAAGGACTTGGGCCATCTTCTACTGCTATCCTGGGCCATAGCAGAGAGCTGGACAGGAAGTGGAGCAGCCGGGTCTCAAACCGGCACCCATATGGGATGCAGGCGCTTCAGGCCAGGGCGTTAACCCACTGCGCCATAGTGCCAGCCCCAGGGCTCTTGTTTAAAGTACTGTGCTCTGACCCTCTATGCCGATTCAAATGGCCTCTCCTTTCTGGAGGGAATCAGATCTTTCACTTAATTCTTGGGACACACGGATGTTCTAAGCAGCTGTCCGGGTGGGTTGTGTGACCTTTCTTAGCCTAGGCCTTCGTGGTTAATTGACTGGCCCCTTCATTCTGTTGGTGCACAGCCCTCAGTGCTAGCACACCACAGGTTCCAGAGAGTGTCCAGTGGGTGCTTCGGTGGCCTCACGTCCCCACAAACCACCCTCCCCCGTCACCTGGACCTTGCCTTTCCCCACTCTGGCCTGGAAAGGAGGGGTCCTCCTTGGTGTCTCTTGGTGGGGGGGCAGAGATAAGCAAAGGCTTCTTGGAGGCCGAGTGACCCCAGGGGTGCCTCTTACCACCCACCCTTCCCTCCTTGCCCTCCTTCCCCTCCCCTCCCCCACTCCAGGTTTGGCCCCGTCCTTGTGGCCCATTTCCTTTCTTCTTCTTCTTCTTTTTTAAGATTTATTTATTTGAAAGGCAGAGTTACAGAGAGGCAGAGAGAGAGAGAGAGAGAGAGAGAGAGAGAAAGAGATCGTCCATCTGCTGGTTCACTCCCGAAATGGCAGAAATAGCAGGAGTTGGGCCAATCAGAAACCAAGAGCCAGGAGCTTCTTCCGGGTCTCCCACATGGGTGCAGGGGTCCAAGGGCATCTTCTACTGCTTTTCCAGGCCAGCAGAGAGCCAGGTTGGAAGTGGAGCAGCCGGGACTCGAACCAGCATATGGGATTTCGGCACTGCAGGTGATGGCTTCACCCACTATGCCACAGCGCCGGCCCAGAGGTCCATTTCTTAATGGACAACTGCACTCAACCTGCTGTCATCCTAGCAAAGTGCCTGCACACAGTTTATGTACCCCCATGTGCTAGGATTTCCATATCATTATTTGCATATCATTTGCATGGCCTTAGGCACCGAGGGTCTGCCTCTCTGACCACTACATCTGGCCTTTGTACTTTTCCGGGTACAAAATCACATTTCTTCTCTGGGCTTCAGTTTTCCCGGAAGCCAGAGGAGCTTTTCTCTGACCACTTCCAGGCAGCTGGAGCTCTGGAGTGTGCGTTGTGTGTGTGTGCGCGTGTGTGTGTGTGTTTGAGATCTTGGGTGGTGGGCACTGGGACTCTGATGCGACGGTGCAAACTGGGGGCGGGGGGCAGATAGTACCTTGCATTCGTTCATCCACTCATTCGTTGGGTCAGCATTGCTTCTGCGTGCTGAACACACATGGCTTCGTCAGCACATCCTTAGATGGAAGGTGTAATTATGAGCCCCTTGTTATACGTGAGGACATGGAGGCCAGGGTGAGGCTAACAGACGGCAGAGTCGGGATGAAGACTCAGGTCTGCCCGGCTGAGTTTTAGGAGGCTGGGGTGGGTGCCTGCGTTTGGTTTCTCTTCTTTCCTTCTCCGACCTGCTCTCTGACCATTTCAGTGAACTAGAGTGGGAGTGCAAAAGGCCCCTTACTCCCTCCCTGATCCCCAGCTTTTTGAGTTCCGGGCTGGTAGGGGAAGGGAGGAGGTTGGGAGAGGGAGGGAGAGAGAGAGAGAGAGAGAGAGAGAGAGAGAGAGAGAGGCAGGCTGCCTGGAGGCTAGAAAGGAACAGAGGAAAGGGGGAAAGAAGCAAGGACAGGAAATTTTAGTGCCTTTGGACATCAAAAGAGCTATATGCAAATGAATGCAAATACAACGCAAATGAGCTCTCCCTCCCTCACCCCACCCTTTCTCAACAGCTGGAAGACTTTTTCAGAGGGTTGCCAAAGCCTCACTCCAGGACACTGCGGTTTGAAAATTGTGACCAACTATGAGCCCTTCCTAGGTCCTGGAGTGACGACTAACCACCCCCCACTCCGTGGCTGCATCTCCAGGAAGTCACTGGCTCCCAGGGCTCCACTCTCCTCGTGTGGGCATGTATTGGTGTCTCCGGCTTCCAGGATGGGTGGCTCCAGGAGCCAAGCCTCCCTGTGATGGCCCACAGCCCTGGTGAGGGTGCTGGGTCCCCACCTCAGCAGAGAAGGGTGAGCCTCTTGGTTGCAGGCTGTCTCACCCCCATCTCCTGTCGTGTCGGCTGGATTGAGTCCTCAGGGCCCGGGGGAGGGCAGAGCAAGGCGTCCTGGAAGGCCACCAAGCAACAAGTCCCTTCTCGTTCTTTGCAGCTGCCAGATGGGGCCGTGGGGCCAGAGTGTGGGGGTGAGGGTTAGGGTCGCTCCCTGCCTTGGGGCGACCAAAGGGAGTGGATCCAAGTTCAGTTTCAATACAGAAGAAATAGAAAGCAGATGGCAGGATGGCAGGAAGGTAGGGGCCAGGAAGGACTTGCTGGCCTGTTTGAATCACACCTCTGTGTCAATCTGATGGCACCACTGCCAGAGGCAAAGATGGGTGGAGGGGTTAGTGTCTGGGTGACAAAGTGAGAGGCATCCTGGGAACCAGGATAAGGCAGCGTGTCTGGGGACTGGACAGGAGACCCAGAGCTGTTCCTGCCCTGATACTGCTGATGCCACCCCTGCTCTCAGCCCCCCATCATCCCTGTTCCCAGCCTTCAGCCATGTTGGGAAGGGAGGGGCTACCCCCAAATCATCGCCCTTTGGCACTGAAAGGTTCAGAATAGTAGATAATCATATCTGTTTAATTCAAGAACAGTATAACAGCGGCTGCCTTCCTATCAACGTTTTTGACCTTGAGCTGGACCTCACTGACCTTCAGCAGAGCCCCGCCCCAGCCAGTGCCTTCCTGGCCCTCCCAGCCCACCCCAGACAGGGCAACCTCTGGGTCTACCTGCACTCTCAGGGCAAGTCTAGGCCCAGCACGCCCTCTGGTGGTGAGCACGGTGTGACCCTAGAGTTTGTACCCCTGCCTGGACCAAGCGAGAGGGATCTCCCACGAGGGCTCAGCCAGGTG